AGAGCTTGTATAGTTTTAATCATTTATTTTCTCATTGTTGAGCAACACTTACTGGTCTCTTGAACTTAATGCTAATTCTGGAGTAATAAAGTTAAAGGCAGTTAAGCCGTCTCTATTATGCTGTAAGAACCAGCTTAAGCAAGCTCAGCACACAATGTCTTGCTTTCAGCTGCCTAATAAAGAATACCCATGTGCTAGATGATGGTAAATCAGGATGTGATAGAAAGTTGGAGTATTTCACAGACAACAAACTTCTTTTGCAATAAAGCACAGCTGGCTCTCACCCAGTGATACTCCAGCTCATGCCGAGTTCCACAAAAATCACAAACCTGATCAAGTATCACATACCAAGAATCAAGTGACAGATTTCCATGGAGTAGACAGCAGCAACAATACGTGCCCATGGAAAAAGCCGTCCAAAGTAGCAGCTGCTCGTGTGAGTGGTGGGGGAGGAGAAGAAGGGGAGTTTTGCAATGTAAACAGCTTTTGCAAATACATCAAAAAGCAGTAAAAATATGTAAAATAGAAGGACCAGGACTTGGTCGCCCCAGAATACAATGTACTTTATGACTGTATGAAGGACAACAACATTATTTAGTCAGTACAGTTGTGTTAAGATTTTTAAAAATGTAAACATCCTTGATGCAGGAGAAATTCTGTGGTCAGAAGTCTGTTGACATAATGAAATTGCAAGGGATTTAGACTTAGCAAATGAGCTTAAAGTTGACCTACCACCAAATAAGCTTGTCTTCCCTCTTGTCTTATTAGATAAAATAACCTGGGTGAAAGATCCATACTTGTTCACATATTCACTCTCTTGGTGGAAATAAGCCAGTCACACTTCTCTTACCTTTCTAGGTCTGAGCACTGTAACAGCTGACAGAACCAGCTGTTCTCCATTCCTCTCTTCTCACAGGTTTTTCCTGGCAGAACACCTAATTAAGTTTTGCTTGGATGCAGTTTATGTGGTATTGAGTAAACAACCTCATGTATTTACTAAAGTGAAAGAAAAATCCCTTTGTCTGGTTGGATCATACTACTCAAATCACAGCTTGGAGCCATCACTATACCCCATGTAAAATTGCAGAAAAATAAACATCCAAGGCCTGATGGACGATGGAAAACACTAACAAGTATATAAACTTAGCCAAGATAAAGGAATATATTGGAAAATGGATGAGAAAAATGGATTCTTAGTGGCCATGAGCATTCACTAAAGAAAAAGTTGGACTACATCGTAATCAAAATAATTTTAAAAATCAATTGTGATTTCTGGGACAGTAAGTCCAGTGTCTCTCTCATTAAACCACTTGAATGTCTGTGAAAAAAAAAGCAGAAAAGATCTAAAGCAGATAACAGAGCATGCTGTAACTGAAATCTGCCAGTTTATTGCTAATATAGTGGAGAAAGCATTTTCTAGAGCCAGTGGAACCAACTGCTCTAAAGATCAGACATTCTTCCTCAAGAAGAAAAGAAGAAAGTGGAGGAAAAAAAAATAATAACACTCCTGGAAATGCAGTGCTATATTTGTCATAAAATCTGAGGTCTGTGCTTTTCCCCTTTGGAGTCAGATATAATTAAAATTTTTCTGGAATGCAGTGAAACAACATAAAGAAAAATAAAAAGTAGGTAATAGTAAAAACAGGAAAATAGCAACAGTTGATAAATTCTAGCTAGTGCCTTATTAAAAAAAATAATAATAATAATAATAAAAATCTGAATATAACCAAAGAGAAAATGTGTAAGACAGGGGTGACCAAGCTTCAGGCAAGAGATACAGAACCAGTTGAAGTTAAGTGTACATTTGAACTAATGAAAACCAATTTCAAGCCACTTACTCAGGGAGCTGTACCGTTTAACCTACAATGACATTTCTCCTAATTTAAGCACAAGAGTTCTATAACAAAGCTCAGAAAAGATGCAACAAAATGTAATGAAAAAATGTTGTTTTAAATACAACTGAACTAAAATGAAAAATAATTCCTCATGTCTGTTTGTATATAAGACCATTTGTTCCTGCCAGTAAGTGTTTTCCCGGTTTCTTAACTGGATTCTAATTTTAGAGTTGGATAATATCATTTCTGTGCATTTTTTTCCACACTATGCAAATGCTAGTAGTTTGGACAACAAAAAGAGACTTTTGTTGTCACCACCTTCCTAGAGAAAGGCCTAAGTAGAATATAAAGTCTCATTTCAGTCAAACAACCCATTTTTTACCTTATTCAGCTCTACTGAACAAATACACACCCTTCCAGATTATATAAGCTTCCTCAAAAGTTCAGATGAATCAAAGGATAATTCAATTCAGTTCAGTTATACCAAATGCAGTAGATTATACTAAATGCATTCAACTAAATATGTTCAACCTAAAACCTTGACAGCTCTGATTACCCACCTGAGTTCTCTGTTCCTGTCTTCACATATTCCTTTAGCCTCAGCTTAATTGCTACCAGTTTTGTTTTTTTTTTTTAATTGGATGTCCTTCGTTTCTCTTGCAGCTTCTTGCAGTGCTCTCAAAGCCATATACCACCCAGCTTCCAAACAGGTGTCGACAAACTTGAGAGCTAACTTGAATCATAGAATCATTAAGGTTGGAAAAGACCTTCAAGGTCATCTGGTCATCACCCTACTACCAATGTCACCCACTAAGCCATGTCCCTAAATGCCAGGTCCCCCAGGGACGGTGACTCCACCTGCATGTGAAGCAGTCAGTCCTTCACCAAACTGGGTTTATTTCTGAAACTGGCTGTACAACAAGCAGAAATAACATTCCAGAAGATAGTTTGTAAAAGCCCTCTTTGGTGGTGCATTGATCTTAGTGTTTAGCATTGTGACTGGATTTTTAGCATCTACATCTAATTAGAGAGTTCTCAAGCCAGGTATCTTACAACCATCACTCAGCTTGGGTGCGGGTAGAGGAACTGATGCTGTGATGTTTTAGGCCTTCTCTGGAAATACAGGACACTGTACATAAGCACTGGTGTTGCTTAGCCGAGACGACATGGCTTTTACATCTCTCTAACCACAGAGCTCTTCTCTAGCAGGTTTTTCACTTCTTAAATGCATACCAAACCTTCCTTTTTTTTTTCCTCCCTTCCAGATAAAGAGATCTAGCTACAGTTCATGGCATCATGTATTGGTAGAAAAAAAAAAATATATATAAATATCAAAATAAATAGCATCTGTTACAAATTGATTGCTACATACAGACAGTATCGGAGGCCATGCCTAAAGAGCAAGAAAGACAGTTTTTGAGCAGTTTATGTTGCTTTCTCCCATTCTCGTTTGGGCCTCTTGTTCTCACTGCCTCTCCACTGTTGGCACTAAAGTAATACAGCTCTGCAGTAAGCCACATCAACTGACAAAAGCCACATCAGGCAAGTGTTCTACCTTGCGCTACATCCACTTTGTTGACTGCCAAGATGAGGGCAGGCTCAGGTAATAGACAGTATGGACTGCAGATGTCCAGGTAATTGGCAATTATTTTTAAAGAAAGAAAAAAAAGTGTTATTAAAGAAATAAATTGTCTTTCTCTCAACCCATAAAACAGAAAGCACATCAGAGTGAGGATCTTGACAGCATCATGGAGCACTCTGTCATTTGGATACTTATACAGTGTAATTGATAGGATATTTTTGAAATTGTCAAACAGAATTTTTGCAAAAGCACAAATTTTTGTTGAGTCTGGCATGAGTTTTCAGGGCTAAGTGTCTACTGGAATGTAGATTACACTTAATAACCTCTTATTTGCATTAATGCCTTGAGAAAAATAAATAAATAAATAAAAACATAAAAAAATAATAATAAAAACATAAAAAAATAATAATAAAAACAGATCCAGGATAGAGATAATCCAAGTGGATTGATCCAAGTTAAAGTCACTTCTGTATTCCTATAATTCCTATAATGGTTCCTGACAAAGTTTATAATCAGCTCATCATTAACTTAAAAATAGTTCCCGTTGCACAGAGCTGCCATTAACTGCACATGACGAGGAAGGTAAGCCCTACAAGAAATCTCTGATCTCAGCGAAACTGCTCCCTAAACTCTTGGTTAGGCCCTTCATGGAGAAGCCCAAAGTAATCAAAGTTTTCCAGACTTGTAATTTTCCTACTCACTGAGCACATGCTTCTCAAGAACAAAAAAGATCTATTTGCAGCTTGTCATTTGTGAATTCACAAATTCGCATGTGCGGTGTTAATTAATTCAGTGCTATAGTGGGATTATTATAAATACAGCACTCTCAAGAGATTTACTAGGATTCCAGGCAGGTCTATATATACACTCAAGAAATGATAAAAGAGAGCTTTTTTTTTTTTTTTTTTTTTTTTTTGGGGGGGGGGGGGTGAGGAGGGGAGGGTGAACTGCAGTTAATTCTGACAGGAGAGGTTTCAGTATGCCTTTTTCCTCTCTGATCCTCCTGCCAACTTTCCAAGCAACTTGGAAATATATATTTAGGAAGTATAGCCAATGCCAGAGTCCAAAATTGTAGCACCTGTCATAAGATTAAAAATGTTAAAAATAGCAGCAATAACAAAAACATCCTTTTTGTTGCTACTGTAGCTACTTTTGTTATATTCAGCTTTCGAAGTTTCCAGAGATGTGATTCAGGTTGGGGGGTGCTTCTGCAGCACAGAGAAATTGAAAGATCTTTTGTTTAAAAAAATGTGATAATAATCATCATAATCTATGTAGATAGATAGATAGATACAGATATTTCCACTGAATCATCCGAAGACCTTGTTATTAAGAAAACACCTGCTTCCCAAGCCAGGCAGGAAAATGGAGAGGAGTGGCAGTGCTGCTTGCCACTTCTTTCTCATCCCTCCCAGGAAAGCAGAGAAATGCTGAGGACTCAGTTGACAGTGAAAAGACAAAAAGAAAGGACCAACACCTGTAAAGAACTGTTCCTGCTTAACTCCTCTGGAAGCTGCACATATGAGAGCAAAACTGTTTCAACAACTTGATTTGGTTGCAAAAAGCAGCCTTTTGGTACTTACATATTTTTGTGGTCCTCTGAGTGTCAGTGCAACTCCCCTGAAGCTGTAGAAGCCTTTGAGCTCTTTTAGTCTGTGCTTAAACATGAACAAGTTATTAGGATGGCACTTTCTGTAGGGTCAGCCAGCTTTGGAGTGTCGAACAGCAATCCAACCTCCAGTTTGAGTGGCCTCATTAAAAGTATCCTGGGATCCCTCTCCACAGAAGCCCCTGCTCCTGTAGGTTGGTTAGCTGTGCGTGTGCTAGGTATTGTGTCTAATCCTCACAGCTAATGAGGTCTGTCCAGATCCGAGGCAGGCTCATTGTTCTCAGTCTTCCCAAACTGACAAATCTCCCAGGGACGTAGCATGAGAGAGCTTGCTGGAATAACTAACAAAGGTGCCAAACATTACTATAGCAACTGGGGAAAAATAGAAGCTCACCGTATATCCAAGCTATATTTTCTATTTCTTTTATCATTCGTACTCAATTTTTATGCAGCTATACTGCAGTCCTTTGGCATCATAGCCTTTATATTTATTACAAATAAAGTAAAACAACGTTACTCAACATAATTGCATTTCCTTCCCTGGAGACTCCCCTTGCACATTCACTGACAGGATAGCTCCCTTTCTGTGTCAACACAGAAAATTAAACCTTTCTGGCCTAAAGTGAACTGAAGAAGAGTAGGAAGAAGCATGACAGAATGTATAATGAAAACATTCTTTGAATGTAAATCATGTCACTTCTTATTTTTTTATGAGGTGTTTCATTGTTTTTTATTGTAACTCTCACATCATTGTAAGGGGCATGAGGGAGACATGAGCTTTAGATTTTCTAGTTTTCTGGCTTTAACATTTCCCTGTTAGGTGTTTTAAGGAGCATAGGATACGGACTGTTACTTCAATTGCATAAGAATTTATATATGTTAAATCCCCCTATTTTTTTCTTTTTTTCATTCTTTTCTTCACCTAAACGTATTATGCTCAGTGAAGACAGATTAGTCTGACAGAGTGCTGAAGGATACTCCAATAACTGGAACACCAAAACGGCCCAGGACTAGGGAGCAGACACCAAGATTTCCCCTTTACGTGAGAAAAATTATGCCAAAAAAATTGCTCTAAATGTAGTAAAACATCTCAGTTTTCTCCATTTTTGCTGTATGGGTTTCTGCACTGGATTCTACTAAGGGTTCTGGAAATTCCCTCTACCTTCACAACACTCTGGTGAGCTATGCCACATAAACCAGAGATACAATCCAGCAACTTTCCAGTAATATGAGCTCAGTGCTTGTTTTTTTTTGTGTTGGACTCCAGAGCTCAGCAGGAGAAGATGGTGATGTAAGCTCCACAAGGATCTTTCTTTTACAATGGCTTCTTCTTGGGTAAAGAAGAAAAAAAGAAAAAAAAAAAAAAAGAAAGAAAAAAAATAAAGCCTTCTCTCTTTTTATAGAGAACATTTTCTGGAGGTAGATATATTTATTGCAAATTGCTTTTGATGAAATAATTCCCAATTTTTGTCATACATTTTATCTGAGTTTTGGGATTGCTCTAATATTTTTCAAGCTGTTTAACTGTATGTATATTTTAAATGGAATTTTAGTTCTTATCTTTACAGTGAACAATCCTGCAATCTTGTGTTTGAATTCATAACCGTGTAGATCCATTGTGCAGAAAAAATGTTTGTTTAAGGTGATTCTTTCAATATTAATCCTAATAATGTCCTACCTCTCTTAATGGTTCTCAAATTTGAGCAAGTACCTTATTAAGCAGAGTCAAAACCAAAGAAGACTTTGCTCTTCCTAATGTTTTATTCTTTAATAATTAATTGCAAGTTATGATCATATTTATTTAATAAAGACAATTTTACAATTAATATTAATTGGCTAAATTATAAATCAGGACAAAGACCTAATAGGTTCAGGATCATTTTTAAAAATACAATCTTAACAACTGGGAATGGGTCATAAAAACTGAGATGCCTTGACTATCTATGGAAAACTTTAAAAATTTTCTCTTTTAAAGGCATATGTGTGGTATATGTTATCCCAAAGATAAAGCATATAGCACTAAGAATAGCTGTGCTATTCCCCAGAAGACATCTAAGCCGGCTTTATAAGTCAAATACCTACTGAGTGATCTGCATTTCTGAGTAGACTTACATTATAAATCATGGGAAATATCCAGCATCTATAAGTAAATACAGTATAATGAGCAAGAGATAAAATTTATGAGTAACCATGAGAGTAACTGGCTGAAGCAATAACAAAATAAAATGCTTCATGAGCAAAGAAACAGAAGAGGTCTGGAAACATGAATTTATACTGTGCCTCTTCTCCCTGTCCTGCTTCTCACCCCAGCATGTCCACATACACTTATAACACACCCACTGGGAAAAAGAAATCAGTGGCTATGACTCATCTGGAGCTGGGTCCATGTGGTTAGGCCAACCTGTTATGTGCCTTATTAACCAGGAGGTTGCTATGAAAGAGAATTATAATGACCGAGTTGTGCCTATCTCAGAGGGGTCATAAATTTCTCCTTTATCCTGAAATTTATTTCCATTAGACCAGTAGGAACATAAATATCCTTGAGTACTCTACCCTTTTTTTAAATCTGGTTAAAATTAGTCAGCATCAAAAATAACTGGGGGAAGGGATTTGGCAAAGGGATCAATGGCAAAAATTATGTAACGACCTTTTTTTTTTCTTTTTTTCTTTTTTTTTTTTTTTTCCTGGAATCCAGGCCTAAATGAAACATACTTTGAAGCATCCATGCTCCTTTTTATGATTAAATGCATTTATCCATCCAAAATTCATCAACATGAAATGTTCATTAATTTCCAAAATTAACACATTTTCCACAGCTCATAACTCAAGCCCCAAACTTGCAGTGTGTGCTGAGTCTGCTGCAAGCCCCGCAGGTTTCAGCAGGGCTGAAACTTCCTGGATAGAGATGTTGAGCTGCTTGCCTAGGTTGTTTTAATGATAATATTTACTCAGACAATATTTCCTTGGTAGCTTAGCACCTCATAAACTGCAAGTTATATATTCTTATCTCTGTGAAGTATGGAGGCCCCTACTTTACCCAGACAGAAACTCCTAAAACTACCTTCACCAAGGGAGATGACTAAAAAAGCATTTAGCATTGTTGCAGTAAGTTTTCAGATGCCAGGCTCCTAAGCAGAATACATGATTATTCTTCAGGTGCTTGATTTCCTTTATTGTGCAAAGAAGAGCAATTTCAGAGTCCAAACACAGGGCTCTGGCACAGATTGCCATTTGAGATGCCTTAGGGTTTCCGTCTTGCCCCCAGATGCCTCTCCAGGAAGACACACATCTCCAAACATACCACTAGACAGCTACATTTATGTATCTAAGTTCCACTGTAAATGACATACATTTCACAATATGTACCCAGGAAAATTCACAGTAACCAGAAATCTCTGCTTGGATGAGATTTTAACATCTTAAAAAATAATATAATAAAATACAAAATATAAAATATAAAATAATATATAACTAAATTATAAGTCCAGAATAGGCAGAAGCATTATAAAAAAAAATACTGTATGGACTCCAAATCTGTGAAATCTGTGAACCGGGTGTGTTCTGTCCAGCATTTGCCAGGAAGATACTGCCAGCACTAGAAGCTGTTGACATGTGATGAATTTTGTAAGATTTTAAAGTCACTGACAGGCTAAGGAACATTTGGACTTCAGGACATAGATTTTGAACAGGTCAGTTAAATGATCGAGATGATATTTTAGGAACTAACATCCGTTATATGCTTAAGCTGAATGGATTTGATCTGTCATAAAGAAAGTCTTACGGATAGGGAGAAACTAAACTCCTTTCTCCCATCACCCAAAGCACTGGATGATGTGGGTGACCACCCACACCACTCTCACAGCACATTGGCTCACAAATTAAAAACACGTCAACTCTAACTCAGTCCCTATTTCCTTGATTTTTTTGTTTTATTTATCTATTTATTTGCATATTGTCTTGCAGATTCAACTTCCTCTTTCATATTAAGTGTCTGAGAAATGATTCTTAGAGAAGTCCAGCATGACAATAGAGAGGAATGTTTTAGGACAAAGGGGCTACAGATTTTCTGGGAAGTGAAAGGCAGAGCTAATGGAAGATTGGAGGAGGTTAAATAGGACTCTTTCGTGCAAATGGATGGTACCCCTAAAGAAAGGTCTTACCTGCATTTGTTCTGGTTCCAGGACTGGCGAGTGTTAAATGCACTGGCATGGTGCAGCATGATTACTGAAAAATTCGAAAAGCAAAATAAATGGCAGTCCTTACTCTCCCTAATTAAAACAGATTAGTTACAGCAATTTACTGTCAGGATTAATGCAGCTTCAACCAGGCAGATGTGATCTATTAAATAGCTCTGCTTTTGCCAAAAGAAATTTATTCAGCACAACTGGATTTTATAAAGTCTTCATTACAGCTAGACATCTGCATCTAAACATCTACAACTTTATGGCATTTTTAAACTCCCCTTTCTAAATGTTTTATTACCAAAGGGTATTATAGGCTTTAACAGATCTATAAATATGCATTCCTTTATCTGTGTCCTCTACTCAGAGCACAGATATACTGCAAAGTTTTGCCTAGATCGTTGTGGCAATGATTTCAACTTCATCACTAACTTGAAGAATCAAGAATGCTGCAGTTTTCATGGCACTGGACCTCCATCTAGTGAGAAGAAGAATAGTGCATGCTTCTGGGGCATAAAACCTGCACAGTTCTTGTTTCCATGTTCAAAATACTTTCATAAGTGGAACTGTGCATAGCTGCCAGAAGTGATGTGGATATCTTTAAATAAAATGCATAGGAAAGTGTCATCTCTAACTGAAAACAAACAAAGAAACAAACAAAAAAAAATCTTAATCTCGGTTCCACTTAAATGCCAGTGATTGTTCACAAATCTCAGTAAAGGAAACAAACCTTGAGAAAATCCTATGGTAGTCAGACACGTCTAACAGCTGTCATTGTATCACAGTGTCATGCTCTGCTGTTTATCCAGTTTAAAGCCTTAAATAGGCTGGTCTGTGGACCCTGTTCTGAGATAAGGCGGTGTTATTACCCCCTTCACACAGGTAGAGAAGATGTGTTCCCCCAAACACATGGATCAAGGGATGGATTTTGGAGGTCTGAAAATTTCCAGTAATGTAGAGAGGCACGTACTTGAGCTTTTCTTGCATTAAGTGCCTGACTCCTCCTAAGCATCGGGGCAGATGCCTGTCTGCACCTTTCGCCACATCAGTGCCTATCAAACATTTCCTGGTGTGCCAGGCTGACAGCCCACTCTCCTTCCCATCTGGAGGGTCACAGAACTGCGGTGTTAGCATCTGCTGTG